TTATTATTCAGCAATCTGACTTTGTATTCATATCACTCACCTCCTTAAAATTCCACAGAACACAGGTGCCAGAAATTTCAAAAAGAGCTAGTTACTCTAACATGTAAGACAAGACTGTGCCTTTGTATGGAAAAAAAAATCAAATGTAAAAATTGTATGAGTCTTACCCATAATGAAAAGTTTACTTAATGAAAAGTTTCATTAACACAGCCCTAGGAGATTATTGAAAAGGTGCTTAATAACGGCTTTTTTTTTTTTTTTATTTGAGACAGAGTCTCGCTTTGTTGCCCAGGCTAGAGTGAGTGCGTGCCGCGCAGCCTAGCTCACAGCAACCTCACATTGCCTGGCTCAAGCGATCCTGCTGCCTCAGCCTCCCAAGTAGCTGGGACTACAGGCATGTGCCCACCATGCCCAGCTAATTTTTTCTCATATATAGTTGCCAATTATTTCTTTCTATTTATAGTAGAGACGGGGTTTCGGTCTTGCTCAGGCTGGTTTCGAACTCCTGAGCTCAAACGATCCACCCGCCTCGGCCTCCCAGAGACAGCTAGGATTACAGGCGTGAGCCACCGCGCCCGGCCCAACTGCTTTTTAATCTAGTCACAGCCTTAAGATTAAACTAGACTGAGGCAGCAGGCGCTGAGGAGTGCCTGCTTGGAGCGCTTGTCCCGGAGACAGCTCTGCCTTGTGGCTGGTAGCTCGGAAACTGCAGGGTATTGACTGTGTGTAAAGGACTCAAGTTTATCTGGGTCTAATCGTTCCTAAGAAAAGTTCTCATTTACTTCAGGAAAGGGAATCAAAAGACAATTGAAATTCGGTTACCCAGGCTTCAAAACAAGCGTCCCCCTTCATGTAGTAAAGCGCTCACGGAGGCCACCAGTTGGGCCTGCGGGAGGTGCGGGCAGGGCAGCGGGCCGGGCCACCCCTAGCCTTGGGGACGATGCGCTGATGAGGACACACACGCCGTTGGGGTCACATTTCTGATGTCCTGTTTTTGACGAAAATAAGGTAATTTCTAACAGTGACTATCACAGTCAGATACCCTGCTGATGGGCGACCAGTGCTGAGTGGTGTGGAGCGTCCTGGGCCGAGAGACACGAGCACATCCTTAGTCCGTGGCCTTTCTCTCGTGTTTTATGTCCAGTGCTTTCCGAAGCCACTGTGACGGCCTCACCACACCTGGAGTGTCTGGTTTTTGCTTAAATTTACTTGAAACTCTGGAAACACCCAAAACCCAAGCCTGGCATGTAGCAGTGGGAGATGCTGAGGACGCGAGTTAGAAATACGGGACGTGCACTTCCTGGGGAGCCGGGAGCCGGCAAGCCCTGTGCTGACTCGGGGGTTCTGCGGTGACCAAGCCCCTCACCTTCCTTACAGGGTCCGGTTTCAGAGGGCAGAGGGACTGGCCCTTGCAGATATTTCTTGCCTTACTCTTTTGTAGAGCATGTACACTAAGGATGTAACTTGAGCCTTATTTATCCTGGCCAACAACAACAAAATGATCAAAAAATTGTTTTCCAATTAAATCTCTGAAGATATTTTTAGGAAAACACCCTACTGAGATCCAGCTGATTTCTTACTCATCCACATAGCCACCCTATCTTTGTATAGACGGGAATCCAGAGGAGGAGGAGTTTAAGCCTCTGGCCTGAAGTCTCTAAATGGTTCCTTGGCAGGGGCAGGGAATGGTCCCTTTTAAAGAATGTATTGAGAAGAATGAGTTTGAGAAGCAGGATGCCGGGCTCTTGCGGATACCGTCCCGGACAAAGCGGGAGGCCGCAGTGCCTCCTGCATGAGCCCGGGAAGGCCGGCTCACAGCCCCCAGACCTAGAACCACCCTCTCAGCTGGGGAAGTCCTGCTTGCTCATTCCAGCAGAACCATTGTTGTCGTGAGCGTGCTCATCAGAACGGTGGCCAGGAACATCAGCAGGCCGGCTGATCTTGGTCGCACCACCTGTCATCACGGCTTGGTTCCTTCTCCGCCCTGTGCCAAGGCACGATGAGGACAGGAGGGGTCAGAAAGTGAGTTGATGCCAACACATCGGTGAGCATGTTGCCTTTACGCTTGATTTTATTCTCTGTAAACAGCACTACTTTAGTTAAGGCGTTGTAAGACAGCCGCTGATGGAGGGGCCGCATACCTAGCAGGACAGCATGAGGGACCCGCTGCACAGGAACTTGGAGGTTCGCATTTTGGCAGGTGCTTCCCTAGAAGCCCTAGGAGAGGGACGTGATGGCCTAATAGTGACCGGCACTCGCAGGCGGAACTGCGGCCTGTCTTACTTTCTTGCTCTTTTAAACACAAATGGCAGGTCATTGTAGTACTAAATGTTCCTCCACATGACCTGTGCCCTGCTGCCCCCAAGACCTGCTAAACCTACACTATTTGTTTTTCTCATTCTGACCTAATATGTGAAAAGTCTAGACCAGTGCTTTAGAAAAAGCTGGATTAAGTCTCTTGTTTTGAGCAGGAGTCAGGTACCCTGGAGAGTTTTCACTAGTTACATTTTGTGACACTTTTGTCCATACTTATTCATAAGTTCCAAAGCCTGCGCAAAGCCCCATCTGTTTTGCTTGGGGGCCAGACAGACCACTGTTGCACTCTACTGGGTGAGTGGCCAGAAAGCTGCCGGGGCCATTTTTGTACTGTCACATCAGCGATTTCTAAGTTTTGGCTGGACAGTATTTATCACTGGATTTTACATTTAAATCACTGCTCTGCTTACAGATATATTAAGAAAACCACTAATGTTTTTTAAAACATCATTAGCTGCTCTTAAAAGGTTCTGCATGTATTTGGAGAATACAGCAATCGAGATATTCTAGTACTACTCTGTGATGATATGAAAAAGTTTGTCTGCAAAAAAGTAAACAGGGTGATTGACTAACTCACAGAGGCCTAGTGCTTCCTCCTTGGTTCCTCATGTAAACGTAGTAACAGAATCGGTCTACTTTCCCCAAACTTCAAGCTGCATCATCGGAATGATTGTGGGAGCCTCTTTGTGGGCTTGGTTTCCTAGAAGTAGTCCATTAAATTCCTGCTTTCAGGCTGCAGGAGTAGTCTAGGATATGGCCCGTAATATCTGGAGACTACCCTGCGTTACTGTCCAGAGTTCAGTACAAGTTTGTTCTCTGCCACACTGAATTACAGAACAGGCTCTCGGGCGGGGGGTGAGCTCTGACGAGATAGAGATGTAAAAAAGACAGGAAGTGTCTTGGTCCGTGGTGCTCTACTTAGGGGACAGAAAGATGCCTTAAACTCTCCATGGGCTTTTAATTCACAGAAAGATAAATACGCTGGGAACCAAAACAGTACTTTTGCTGAAGAGATTGTGGCCTCTGTGTGACCCAAACACGGATTTGAGGAGGAGTGATAAGATTCTTTCCAAGAGGTACCAGTGCTCGTCTCTGTCATTAAGGCAGCAGGGTGGCAGGAACACCAGGTCCCTGCAGCACATAACGTTCTGCTTCACAGAAGGGTCAAACGGCCGAGGAGGAAGATGTCAGGATCTCTCCCCAACACGCTGTGTTCTCTTTTGTGTTCTAAGGCAGCTCAAACAATCATGCCTGCCTAGTTTTCCTAAGAGACATTTTTGCCTGCTTCCAACCTGGCACCTACGGTATTGGCAAGCAGCCTTTGTTGTGTTTGTGTTTGGTGCCAGAGCCTATTCTGAAAAAAATTGAATGTGGGCGCCATTTTAAGTCCCAGGTGGAAGGAGCGGGATGGATGGATGTTCTTAGAAGTTGGATCACCACTGTATCGAGTGGAAGAATGACTGGTACTGTAAGGTAATTTCTAAGTAGCAACATGGAGGCAGCTTTCTAATCTTTCATCCTAACTTGATTCGCTTCTCCAGATTCTTACAGTGAGCCTGTTTTCACCCTTGACACAACCAGGAGGTAGGTGTTAGCACCCCCATGTTGCAGATGGGAGGGTCTGGGAGGAAAAGGGCTTGCCTAAGTCTGACAGCAGTGAGCGGCAGAGTTGTGTGTCACTCACACGACAGACACTTCAGAGGGTCCCTCTGAGAGAATGGCCCTTGGATCCAGGCATGGGCCCCCCAGGGCCCCTCTGGCTAAAGGTCATTGTCTTGGGCTTTTTTTGCCCACATGCTTTGGGGATGTGCTGGGCTCTTCAAACCTGCCTTCAGGGGTGTTGCGAGTGTGAACCCAGGCCCTGGGCTCTCTGATACTCTCTCCCCACAGGTAAGCCAGAATTTGTTCCTTTTTACTTTTGGAGATTCAAATTCATTCGTATCAATGATATGTTATTGTCCCCTAAGCAGGGAGCTTTTCTAGGACTCTTGTAACTCCTCAGCTTAGCTAGTTCAGTTGTGCTTGACAAACAGTGACTAAATGCGCAAACATCTAAAACATGACCGCATATAATAAGCCTTTGACATGTTTGGCCAACTCTTATATGGAACAGTTCATCCCTTCTTCTGTCCCCACAGCGGACGTGAGGCTTGCACTAGGCGGTGTGTAGCTGCACGCAGGAGAGAGCCAGCTCCTATTTAATTCTCGTGCTCACAAATACTCACCGATCCAAGTGCCACTGGCGGCTCAGCCTAAGGTGACAAGGCAGTATTTAATCTTTGAAAATATCGCTGCCTTTTTCTTTCTTGTTTTGCATTTGGCCTCTGCTGACTGACAGCAGGGAGCAGAGTCCTCTCCAGGGGCCACTGGAGATGCCGACTGCTCCTCAGTGGAGTGAAATGGGAGCTGGACAGGAGCCCAGGAGGAGCAGGGCTGCAGCCGAGCTCCACACGTCAGGAGAGGGCGAGGTATTTGTGTAACGTGAACCTGCCCTTGTTCTGCGTGAGTGCTGAGAGAAACAGTGGGTGCAAGCTCATCTCGCAACTCATTACAGGATCCCAGCTTTATTTTTATGGTTCTTATGTGCAAGCTCAGTTTCTTCAGGGAGCTGGACACTGCAGAGAGACTGAGACCCACAGCTGCCCTGCAGAGGGGGAGCAGTCTGTGTAAACATACACCACAGGTGACCCAGACAAGCACTTTAATTTTCCTTTTTTTGGGAGGCTTAATTTAGTCATGTTACCTAAAGCGCTTTTCACTCTGGCAGTCGAGGGTTACAGAAAACTCAGCACCAAAGGATGAAAGGGGACACTTGCCCCTTTCGGCCCCCAGCCCTGCCTCCGCTGCAGCCTGAAACACCCTTGGAGCGATCACAGGAGGCGGCCCGCTCGACCACACACCCATTCTCACACACACAAAAAGAAAGAAAACCGAAGCCCGCTAAAGCACGTGGGGAAAAGAGACTTAAGAGCATCTTCCTCCCGCCCGGCTCTGAGACCAAACTCGCAGGCTGGAGAGGCCGAGACTCTGCTCCCCCAGCCTTCGCCACCATGTCCCAGGAAGGAGGGTATGCAGAGGCCACCGGTTCCCTTTGGATGGTGACACATCCCTGAGTCAGTCGTTCTGTTTCTGCTTGCTGTTGAAGTTGCCGTAGGCAGAGCCCTTGTCGATTTCTGTCACGCCGATCATCCACCGAACTCCCATGGAAGCTGCAGGGACGGGAGAGCAGAGCGTTAAGAGGGGCCTAAAGGCGATTTGCCACCGAGAGCCACGAGAAGGCAGCTGCCTGCCCTCGCCATTTCGTAATGCCAGCTGCCCGTCATTCTTCAGTGTAACGTCTAAGTGACATTAAAACAGAGCAAGGCTGCAGTAGGACGGTTTTCATCCTCGGACCCTGGAGATGAATTTGGCAAACCGTACCGAGCTCTGCACAGGGGCACCTCCAGCGAAGTGCTATAAAGAACATCCCAGGAGTCTGGAAAATGTAAGTGCTCAGGTATCTACTTAGTGCCCACCAAGTTCCAACATTGTTCACTGCTCTAAGACTTGCACCAAAAGCAAAGTCCCTGCACTGGCTGAGCCCCTCCTCTGCTAGCAGGATTCAGCCCGCACCAGAGAAAGTGCCGGGCCCACGGGAGTCCAGTGTGACCACTAGGGCCACCACTCAGAAGCTGGCTTAAACTGCTGCCTCTGGAGCAGGCAGGCTTGGTGAGCTCAGGTGCAGGGACCACGTCTTGATCCCAGGGCCTGGCACACCATCTATTTATAACAAATACTTGGGAACAGACAGAGGAGTAAGTGCACGGAACCTCCCAGGGCCAGGCGCGCAGGTTTACAGAGCATTGGCATCGTGGCCTCCGAACTTCCTCAGGCCCCATCTCCCCCAGGTCACTTACAAAGGGGGAGACTCCTGCTTGGGGCCAACTGTAAGATCTCCATGGAGCGTGTCACTAGCAGGGGACACGATGATAATACCAGAGAGCACTGTGTGAAACACAGACTCTTGCTCGAAGGCCTTGTGAGGAGTGATTCAGGGCAAGGAGGTGCAGAGATGCCCCTGCGGGTCCACACACCACTCTCCAGGCCGTGCTTGGGGCCCACCCCCAACTTCCATCTTAAAGCAGCAGCAGCTGGACCAAGAAAAAGCATCCACCAAACATCTCCGTTCAATATCAGCCCCCTGCAACAAAGGGGAAGCGCACGGGCCTCCCCAGAGGTTCCCCGGCCTCCACCACGCAGCTTTCCTGAGGAGGATTAGGGTTAGGGAGGGGTGCTAGAGTGGCAGCTGCACTAGCAAGAGGCTGGACGAGCCGGCATAGGGGTTTGGGATTCCAGGAGGCTTTGAGCTCTCTCCTCCTGAAACCTAGTCCCCAGCAAGGACACGGCCTGCACCTTCCCCCCCGGCCGGAAGTCAGGAGCCCTTCCCTGCAGCTCAGGGCGGGCACCACTGCCAACCTCTTGCTGCCCACTTACCCACAAAGACAACGAGGACAAAGCTGGCTAGTGTCAAGGACGACCCGCTGCTGACCATTCTGACCAGGAACTGGAAGAAAGGGTAGAGCAGCAGCGAGGCCCAGAACAGCCAGTTCACGAGGGTCCAGGGCCGCCACGGTGGCACGAGCGGGCTCTCAGGGAAGGTGCCCGTCCTGTAGTACTCCTCCTGAAAGGCATCCTGCGAGACATGACACTGGCGTCAGTGGCGGGTCCTTCTTGAGGTCCCGCTCCCGAGGGAAGCTCAGAGACACAAGGGGGCCACTGTGGCTCGGCTGAACTGGGGTCATGCAGCACCTTCCATAAAGTGCTCTGTAGGCACCTGCTGTGTCTTCTCAATACCACCTTGGTTGTCCCCCTCCCACAGGGACACATGGAGAGGTGGGACAGCCGCAGCCCCCACTGGGGAGAAGTGGGCAGAAGTCAGGCAGCCATGGTTAGAGCTTCCTGACTCCAGGCGGCCCTGCAGAAACCTGAGCCACAGTCAAGGGAGGACCCAACCGAGCACGCACTGCACAGACGTTCTGGCTTCACCACATGGTGGTGCCAGATTTCTGTGCCATGGCATCCCACCCACGCTTGGAGGCCACACAGATGACAAGGTTTGGGGGCTGCAGGAGGTGACTGAGAACAAAGTCAGGACTCTGGGTGCCCAGCCCTGTGCTGTCATTCCAGCCCTCCATGGACAGGGAAAGGACCTGGCTTTGATCAGTGAGCTGGAAGCCTGGGCCAATTACATCATTCTCTGGACCTTAATTTCTTACTCAGTGGGGTAAGGCCTTTGGACTAGACCATTTTGAGAGGCCCACTATCATTTAAATGCAAGCACAGTGTAGAGAAAACATCCTAAGAGACTTTAATAAGAAGGAAAGCTACCCCTTAGCTTGGTTTGCACAATGACTACGGTTCTGCCTGAACACAGGAGAGTAAGGGCCACATCAGGAAAAATGTTAATTTGATGGGTTTTAGAACCTAAACTCATTGTGGATTTTTTTGGTGTGGCTCTTTACAAAAGGATTCATATCTTAGCACACTTTTCCCACTGCCTCAATGATTAAACCAGAAAACAGCATAAGAAAAATCCTGCCTCATGCATGAAACCGGAGGGGAAGAATTCATATTGTTTTGTGTTTCTCTGCTGGGGCCCAGATGTGCGTCAGCACAGCAGCTCGGTAACTCAGAATCTTCTTGTTAAAAAGCTTCAGGTCTCAGGCCACCTGCATCAGAACCACCTTCCTAGAAGCACACACTTCTAGATTCCACCCCGCACCTTCCCAGTCAGAATCACTGAGGCTGGGTCCCAGGAATCTGCAGTTAACGTGCTCTGGTGACAGGGTCAATTAGTCCATATTTACTGTGTGTTGTCTGTTTGTAAAAGGAGACCAGAGAGCTGTGCCCATAACCCACATAAGAAAGAGGCTGAAAGGGCCGGCTCTGTGCAGTGATAGTTTACAGGCATCATCAGCAAAAGGACTGTCAGGGGCTAGAGCACAGACAGGAGCAGTAGGCCACTGCAGCAGGTCTGAACCCAGCCAAGGACAAGGTGGATCCCTGCTTGTTCCAGAGATGATTTAAGATTGGACAGAGAACCAGACTGCTCATTCAGAAGCAACCAAGCCCATACCTACTGCTACAGAGAACACCCACCCCAGGAGAATATCCTGCCTTAGGACCAGAGGCAGGAACACAGCGGCAGGAACCCTTAGGGCCACTGCCTCGCCTTTGGTCCACTCTGCCTGCAAGATACCTACATTGTTTTTGTGAAGCCCCTTTACAGATTTTGCCATGTTCCTCTCCCTGTTGCTAAGCAGAGCATCAGCTCCAGGATCACCCACTAGTAACTGGCTCTAGGAGATCTCACCCACTGGAAAAAGACTCGCTACCACTCTCAGTCCCACAAGGCCAGACGGCACCCCCACGGCTGTGACGGGAAAGGGACCCTGCAGCCCCGACGCACTGACCTTCTCCTGGTAGAGCTTGTGGAGCCAGGCTGAGCACTGGTCCTCGCCCTCCGGGATGTCTTCCAGCGGGATGCGCCTGCAAGGCAGAGAGCAGCTAGCAGGGGGAGCCAGCGCCCCAACACTCACTTTCAAACAACAGTGCTGGCCGTTTTTCTGTTCTTTGTCTACGTAGCATAAATAATGTGGAAGGGAAGAGAGTAATTCAATTGACAGAGGGGAAATTCCACATCCCTAATGGGGAGATACAGGCCCAAATGCCATCATGGCCCACAAAGGAACGACTAAGAGTCCGATTCGGTGACACAAAGACATTGTCAGAAGAAGGGACAGACACCTGCCTTATTCCATCTTCCCTCCCACCTCACAGAGAGGGTTCCCAAACCTAATGTTTGTCTCTCCCATAGAGGATAAATTCCACACGAGACAATCCCATGTACACAGAATCCATGTATGAGAGATAATATGCTAGTAATTTCTTCTTTGCTACTGCCATTAAGTTGTTTCCTGGCTAAGTGTCTCCCATCAAATGATTCCTCTGGCCTCGTGGAAAGTCCGAGGCAGACCTCCTGCACAGGCTTTGACAAATCAGTGATGTGGATGTTGGGAAACTAAAGCCCCCCCAGGATGGGAGGAGCCAGGGCATCTTCCCCAGGCTCTGCGGCTCAGACAGCAGCCCGGCCTGAGTCACTCTGCACCCCAGGGTAGCTCAGCAATTTGGTGGCTCTGAGGGCTGGTGCTGGCAAGGGCCTAAGGCCTGCCCATTTGCAAACAGCCCATTCTGAACTAGGGGAAGAGAAGTCACTTTGCCACGTTTCCTGTTCCATATATATTTTTACTTGTTCTCAGGTTGCTGGCTTTTGTGATTTCAAGGAATGCTCCTTTACATCAGATTTTGTCCTCATCAAAGTTCCTATCTGGCGTGATTTTCCATGGGTCAGTTCACCCCCAACTGTGACCTAGGGCTGTCTTAGTAAGAAGGTACATTTTTAGAACTTATCTATCACACTATAGTCTGTTAATAAACTACGGGATTTCAGCTTATATAACAAATTACAATGAGCCACTGCCATTAGAATAACATCAGTTTTTCACATAATTTGAACTTATTCTGTGAGCTCCTCCAGAAATACTTTCACTTTATTTGGTCCTACATATACTGCACTTCCACGAATACGCCACATCTTTGCTCTTCCTGATCTATTCTGGTTTAGAAACCAGATCTCTAGGCAATTTTGTTCTTTTCAGTAACTTGACATTATTGCCCTTAATGTTCTAGTATGTTGTATCGAAAATGACTCATTTTCAGTGGGCAACCACAAGAGAAAATGTGTGTTGAGTAGCATCAACGGTTCTCTTCCTGTCAGTGACAGTGAAGCGGCTTCAGTGGGTGAGCCTGACAGTCGAGTTTAGGCTGCACTCCCTCACAAGCTTTGGAGAGTTGCAGTTACCTGTGAGGTAAAATAGTCTTGTGGCATTGCTTGTGGATAACTAGAGCCCCGCTGACTCAAGCCAGCTGAGCTAACTTGAGTGGAGCTCCTGCCAGGTGTCAAATGGGGGATAAAAACTCATTCTACTCCCGGGAGGTTTCCTTTGGGAAGGTAGATGATTCTCCTGCCCCCCTGTGCCACAGACCTGAGTTCACCAGGCAGACTGTGGCCTACACAGTTAGGAACTATAATGGTGGTGCTTCTTTCCTGTTATGGGGAAAGCCAGAGCAGTTTCCAGGGAGGAAGCTATTAACTCAGGCTGCCGATCCAGCAAAACATCTCCCCAGGACAGGTGGAACTTTTTTATAGCCTAGCAGGGATGATGGGCCGCTGACTTTCCACTGTGCTGTGTTGAAATTTGGCAGTGCAAGGTCTTTAATCAGAAGGTTATGTACCACTTGACTAATAGGGACTTGTAGCTCTCTATTCATGGTATTTCCAGTTCTCCTGGTTAGCTTTCAGGGAAGGCGGCCTGCAGCATAAGAAACCAGAACCTTCCCTGACTCATGTCACATTAGGTTTTAATGCATGAATCACTGTGTTTTACTATCTGCAGCATCCTTCAAATCTGTTTCCTACCGACCTTGGTGACATTCTGGAGGTGTTAGACCCATTCTATAAGTTGATACATAGGCAAAGAGAACTGGTTTGTCTAGTATCTTCTGGATATGTTTTCAATAAAGTCATTAGTCATTAGTGGCCTAGAGTCATATATGGCACATAAGTGACATATTGCAAAAATGTTTTCCATTTGCTTCTAGGCCTCCTTATAAATCTGTATCTATGTGTATTTCTACACAGCAGGCCCATCTTCCAAGCAAAGGGTAATAAAGTACTCTCTTCACACTCAACCTCCAAATGACTATAAGGTCTTCCTTGTTCAGCCTGAGCCCTGTGACAGGAGAGAGCTGGTGCAAGAGGATCGGGAAGTAGCTGGGAGGGAAGGAGCCTTCACCAGATTATTCACAATAGGAAGACGTGTCTCTTGAGTTCATTGTATAAATGCAGACTGTAAACAAGTTCCATGCAGAACAGATCGCAAACAAGAAAACATTAACCAGACATTGCTGGAAGGTGGTCCCTGGGTCATCTGTGATTTCTTTACTTTAGAATAGGCAGTCTCTTTTCTGGAAAGAAAATGGAGCAACTTACCTAACATACATATCTGCATGATATTTCTTTCCGTTTAGGACTCCCAGCAGTGTTGGATTTTCATTATTTCTGAAATTGAGTGTACAGTCATATACAGCTGAAACTATAAAAAATAAAACAAATACAAAGCAGTATATAGCGTGTGAACCCAAGTTTGTTTTGTAGACACACACACTGGAAGACAATAATCAAATCACTAACTGGTTATCTAGGAATGGTGCGATTATAGATTTCTTCTCCGTGCTTTTCTGTATTGTCCAGATGTTCTACATTGAACATGTATCATCTTTTGTAACCAGAAAATTCCACTCTAGTTTAGTAATAGAAAGCAGAGGTCATTACTGAGGGCAGATCAGTTATAAAGTCATACTGCAATGTCAGAAATGGATGTACTGCAATAATGATTTGCAGCTTTCTAATGTGCACAGCCTATCACGGTCCACAAATACCAACATTTAACACATTGACTGCCATGCTAGAAAAAATACTTTTTTCCTTGCGGCCACAGTGTGTTATCACATAGAATAGAAACTTCGAAAACAAGACAATCCTTTCTAATTTAATGAAAAATTTGTTATTTTTTATTTTCTGTGAGTTACATGCAATTAAATTGTCAATATGAATTGTAATAATAAGAACATCAACAAGTAAGATTTTCATGAACCAAAACTGCAGGATTTTGCCCCGGGGGCCACCCATCACAGGAAAAGTCCTGCGCACCACGTGGCTCCCATGGTAAAGAGACATGTGAGTAACGTGTTTCACAAAGCCCCAGGCCTCAAACTAGCATGAGTTAAATACAACTCACGGGGCAGTTAATGTGTTAAATACAGATAGTAAGATAAATTAATCCCAAGTATACTATATAAGTTACAGCAGCATCAGCAATCTATGAGCATTTTTTTCCCTAGAAAAATAAGATAGCTATAAAATTATCCTATGACAAGATACTGACTAGAAACTCCTTAAGGAATTGGATTGCAGTCAGTTGAAACGTGGCTGAGAACAAGCCTGTGATTTTAATCGGATTGCCCAGTGGTGAGTGAACCCGTCACATACGGGAAGTTACATCAGAACTCACCATCACAGGCCTGGGACTTGGCTGGTGCTTGGCAAATGCCACTGGGTCAGAGGGCTGAAGAAGGCACCAGTGAACAAGTGGGTGAACGGGGCAGAGAAATGCACAGTGGAAACAGACGTGCTAAGTGCAGCCAGCGCCGCAGGGTGGAAAGGGCAGGAGTTTGGAGTGAGGCCGGTGTGGATCCCAGCACCTGCCACCAGCTCTTCCCGGCGGTGAATCAACCTCCCAGGGAATAGGGTCAGGGTGTCTCCGTCCCACGGCTGCTGAGATGATGACGGCAGGCACTACTGCAGGGCCCACTGTGCTAGTGAGCTGTGAGCTGACACCTCGCTGGGGACTCTCCTTAAGTTCAGTGGTTATTACCAAAAGCGGGAGAGAACGATGGGAAGGAAAGGCCCTCAGTCTGGCTGGGAATATGAAGAACCAACATTCAAAAAACTGAGAAAATTGAGGCCCATTTTCTTCTACCTGCTGCCCGACCACCGTGCAGGGTCTGCAGGTCCCCTGTCTGCCGGTGGGAGAGGGTCCCCCCTGCTGGCCTGCCTGGGGGCTGCGCCCAAGTGCCCGAGACCACACTTGCCTCCCTGAAGACTGAGGCTGGACAGTCCTCTGTCACCCTCCCTAGAAGAGCTGCCTGGTGAGGGCTACTGGAAAATAACCTTGGTATTTGTTACATTAAAGCATAAAAGTGTATCTGTAGTGACAACCATTTAGGTTATGTGGAGTGTGACTAGTCATGCAGTTTCACAGTAAGGGGACCGCAGAGCTGGTGCAGTCCAGTGGCTTCCCAACCCCTTTCCAACCGACCCACTGGCACATGGGGACCAATGCAGGCAACAGGAGAGGTGGGGAGAACCCCTAGGGCTGTGGTCCCCAACCCCCAGCTGGCCCTCGCCAGTTAGCATCCAGGCCACATAGCAGGAGGTGAGCAGCAGGCAGGTGAGTGAAGCTTCATCTGCGTTCACAGCCGCTCCCCATCACCCGCATCTCGGCACAAGCTCCGCCTCCTGTCAGATCAGCGGCACACTGGACTCTCATAGGAGCGGGGACCCTACTGTAAACTGCACACGCAGGGCTCCAGGTTGCGGCTCCTTATGAGAGTCTAATGCCTGATGATCTGAGGCGGAGCTGGTGAGACGATGCCAGCACTGGGGAGATATCATCAGCAGAGATACAGATTATCATTAGCAGAGAGGTTTGACCGCACAATAAATGTAATGCGCTTGAATCATCCCGAAACCATCCCCTGGCCCTGCTCCGTGGAAGAATTGTCTTCCATGAAATTGGTCCCTGATGCCAAGAAGGTTGGGAACTGCCGCCCCAGGGGCTCCTAAACACCCATGATTTGCACCATTCTCATTTTTCCAGAGGAAAACCTCACCGGAAGTGTCTTGAGTGAGCGAGCTGGGCCTGCCTCTAACTGCACAGCCCATCAGAAGGAGCAGGACCAGACCCTGCCAGCCCTGCCTGGGTTTAAATCCCAGCTCGCCATGGACTGGCTGAGCCACTTTGGAGAAGCTCCTTAACTCCTCTGGGTCTGTGTCCCTTATCTGTGAACTGAAAACAAGAAGAAAAGGAAAGCCACCTCACTGGGTCCTGGTGAGGACATCCTACACGTAAGGTGTTTACAGTGCCTGGCATGTGGCATGTGCCCTGTCCCTTGTGGTGTTATTGGGGGAGTGTTGTTAATCTCTCTGTGCACAGCTGCAGGGAGCCGGACAGCCTTGCAGGGGCAAACCTGAGTCAGGGAGTGTCACTGGTCCAACCCAGAGGAGGTGGGTTAGAACAGGGAAAAGCAGAACCAGGAGCCGGGACCTCATGTGCTGGGGTGCCGACGGCTCTTAACGACAGTCCCCCTTTGACTGAAGGGCTATCATGTGCCAGCCAGGATGCTGAGTCCTTTACATGTATTTTCTCACTTAATCCTCCTTGCAAGCCTAACAGGTTTTACAGAACTCAGAGCAAACTTACGATCAGAGAGGTATGGTAATTGGCTCAGGGTCACACAGCTGGTCAGCAGAGGAAACAGGATTTAACACAAGGTCCTCTGATCGGAGAGCCCGCACTGTTGTGACTCTGCTGGACAGCGCGAATGCCAGGAGTTTGTGTCGGGGGAGGGGTGGGGGGGAAACAGGGACAAGCTACAGGGTCATCCGAGGCCCTGGTTATTTGGGGCCAGGTGTGGAGGCAGGGCTGAGGGTGGCATCGTCTGTGTGTGGAGCACACAGTGTCATGCCACAGGGGGCTGTACAAGGACGCTGGTGACTGGGAAGGTAAAGGAAGAACTTAGGGAAAAAAGAACCAGATTACAGTGGTAAGGGCAGGGCAGGGCCACAGCCGGGCTGGATATGGGCTCCTGCAGCCCCCAGACAGGGGCAGGGCTGCTTTCGGGCCCAAGTCTGCAGGGGTAGGGTGGGACCAGGCTGCAGGGGCCAGGTAGGGAGCACTGGCTTGGGGGTCTTAAACTACACTGCAGGGGCTCCCGAAGTGGATGGGCCACCTGGGGACTTGTGATAGGTACAGGTTCGTAGGTCCTGGTGGGAGGCCGGGGACGGGGTACAGGGGGCGAGGCCACACCACAGAGACAACTCGCCCATTGTCCCACCTGAATGCCAGAGGCAGGCCCTGGAGTTCAGAGCCCCTTGCCCTTTGCCCCTCACACCTCACCCGGGAAAGAGGCCTGAGGCCAGGCCCAGGAGAGCAGGTTCCGCCCTGGCCCTGGTGACAGAACGTGGCCTGGTGTGCCCAGCACAGCCTCCAGGACGGAGCCAGCCTTTCCTCTCCTGCCGGCACTCGGGAGCGTGAGGAAGCCGGCTGCTCAGCCGCTGAGCTGCCCCCAGGGACCACAGCTAGTCGAGGCCCGTCCAGCCCCGAGGGGAAGGGACACCTCCTCCAGAGCCGGGGCGAAGGGCAGTGGGGTTTAGGAGGAGGTGGCTGCAGAAGGTTTCTGAACTGGAGAGAGGAGGATCCAAAAGACAGAGAAAAGCGCAACAAGAGGCCTGTGGCAAGTTGCTGCTGCTGTTTTCTTATTCTTACTGACCCAGAGGTCAGCTGTGACAGACCACAAGGTCAGAGTTCATCAGCTGCAGGCATCTGAGGCCAGAAGGTGGGCAAGAAATGCCCCCCAAACCCCACTGGGCTCCCCCAGGGGTCCCGCACGCTCATTCAGCTCGTGGAGCCGCTGCTGACAGCAGAGGGCAGTGCGGGCCTGCCAGGTGCCTGCCAGGTGTGCATGTGTCACCTGTGCAGGGTTCCCAGTCCCCTCAGAGACCCGACTTGGCAGCCGCTCCAAGCTCCTAGCCACAGCTAGCTGGGCAGCACAGCCGCCAGGAAACAAGCTCTGCCTGTCAGAGGGTGGCTGCAATTGTTTGTCCTTGCTGGAGCGGGGAGGCCGCAGGGACACCTCGATCTTCCTTACCTACATTTCTCAAACTCCTCACGGCGACGACGAAGCCCTTGGTGCGTGGCAGCAGGTGGTGCTTGAGGCTGGGCAGCCCCTTGGCCTGGGCCACCTGCATGCTGATCTGGTGCTTCTTCTCCGTGAAGCGGGTGCCCTCGCAGTGGATCAGGAACTGCAAGGCAGAGGGCGGCGGTCACAGGGGTCCTGCAGTCACACACGACCCCACGGTCAAACGTCATCCCGTGGAAGACGCACGCGCAGGGCCCCTCGGTCTACACAGCTCCGAGGCCACACTCGACCCGTGGTCACACACAGCCCCAGGGTCGCACAGCGTCCCATGCAAGGCACACAGGGTCCCTTGGCCACACCCCCCGCAGGAGCCCGGCTGCCTACGTACAAAGTACTTCTCAGGGTAGTCGCGGAGGTGCATCAGGCTGGTGGCGACCGTCTTGCGGTCCTGCTCCCACTTGCGCGTGCAGAAGACCATCTCGGTGAAGTACCACATCCAGCCGATGATCGGGACGTAGGCCAGCTCTTTCTTGGCCAGGACTTTGGAGCCCTGAAACAGACGCCCGTGAAAAGAGAGATCAGAGTCGTCTCCCTGGGCTGTTGCAGATCTCAGCAGGAAAAGAAGAAACATGGATGCCCAAAGCCTCGGGGGACAGTTCCAGAACACAGTGAAGCCCCGCTTGTCTGCCAGCGGCCGAGTTTGTGCCAGCCGCCGGTGAGTGCCAGAGGCCGGAGGGCCCTAGTGCTCCACGGGGACAGCTGGCGTCTGGGAAGACACCAGGCCACCAGCCGAGGGCCTTCAAGGGTCTTCATTAAGCCTACCTCACAGGCATGTAGCCCTACTCCGTGCAGCTCTACCCCACGGCCTTGCTGAGCCCCGCAGGCAGGGCGAGCAGGTCCCTCTCACAGTGCCAGGAGCGGGGCCTGTATGCACGGGCCAGGCGGCTGCACGAGTGGGGCTGCCAGTGAAGCTCAGGCCCTCAGAGACACCATCACATCCACGGCCACTGCAGTGACGGCTCAGCTTGGGGACAAGAGCCATGGCCCCCGCCCCTGCAGAACTGAGAAGGTGTAAACAGCCAATTGCTACCTTATGTTTTAAAAGCAACTTCTTCCCCCATGCAGGGAAGAAAAAGCACAGACACCCTCCAAGTATAGCATCTCCATCTTCTGGTGGATTTTGTTTTTCACACAAATCCAACGTGCAGATTCCCTGGATGAGAACCTAAGCCATGAAACCGGGAGGCCCTGCCTGCCCCAGGGACTCGGGCAGCCCTCGTGGGTGAGGGAACTGGCCAGCGTGGGAGCCAGGGCACAAGGCCGTGTGCTTTCTGTAAATCGTGTGTAATTCTGAACCAACAGGAATAGGGACTCCCGTTTTACAGACAGTCAAACTGAGGCTCAGAGACACTGAGTGGCCCAGAATCACGTATCACAAGGGTGACGGCGGGCAAGCTAAGACTCTAGCCACGCGACTGAGGCTAAGGCCGGGCTGTCACCCGGGTGAGCGTCGAGGCCCCGGGCCCACAGCCCTGCCCTGCTCCTCCTGCATCCACAGAGTCCCCATCTGCTTACAAGGGTGACACACTCGGGGACAGAGGACTCTCTTCTGGGTCCCAGGGATGACCAGGAGTGACAGAAGCCCACCCTGCCTCCCAGCTGGTCGTCAGCGCCAGGGTGGCGTGGCCCCACGCCAGCCAGCGTGACCCCCAGGCCGGCTGAGGGCTATGCGTGGGGGCTCGGGGGAGAAGTTGCTGACAGGAGAGGATGGCCAAGGGGCCTGGCCCGTCCTCCCGCCTCCAACACGGCCGCCGAGCACGCGAACAGCCGTGTTGTGACTCCCCAGACAACAGCCTAGAAATGCCGAGGACCGCCGGCGGCCGCCCCACCGTTGCCAAGGTAACTCCGCGTCGTCGAGGGTGCAGCTGGCCAGGCCTGAGGAAGCGCTGCGCCCGGGCCAGCGGCCACGCCGCCACCGCTAAGCTCTTTTCTCTTTTCAATACGGGGGCAAAGTCCTAAAAGGGTGAGCCCGCCGTCCTGGCTCCTGGAGTCATCCACCCTTCGCACGCTGTAAGCGACAAGGAAACGCCTGCCACTCAAAAGCACGAACGCAAACCGCCTGAGGACCCGCTGCCCTGCGAGTGCCATCGACCTGTGTCCACTCTGGGTTTTGGGCCGGGCGAGGCCCCTCGCGCCCCTCCCCCTGCCAGCGAGGGGCATCCTCCACGTCCCCTACCCTCCTCCGTTTCTGTCACCTCCCCACTCACAGCCTGTGAGATGAAAACAAAACAAACCAAACAAACAATCTTTACCAATAGCCTAAGCTTGTGTTCCTGGGTAGGTTGAGACTATTTTTTAAAATTATGTTTCCCCGAACTCATTCCAAGCATGCTTTGTGGCAGCATGAAGGAGTCATAAAGGATGGCCTGCTCCATGGCCGAGAGGGGCCGTGCACTCTAGAGCAGCTGCCACTGCCTGTGGGAAGGTCCCCCGTGGTCCCCCACAGCTGTCTGGGGGGAGAAGTACTCTCGGCGGGTTTCTTATGCATAGTTCTATCGCACATGACCCAAGCGGTCTTGGCGGTCGGCCTTCGGTGACCTGCTGCTGAAAGGAAACAGCAGCTCTGACCTGACAGTGGCACGAGCAGGCGTCCTCAAACTACAGCCCACAGGCCACATGCGGCCCGCCTAGCACGTTTATCCAGCCCTCCGGGTGTTTTTGCCACCGCTGCCTGTCCTGCTTAGCAGCCGACTCGTCCCAGGCCCACAGTGCACGCTCTCCAACGGTCTGAGGGACAGTGAACTGGCCCCCTGTTTAAAAAGTCTGAGGACCCCTGGACATGAGCATCTGGACCCAAAGATGGTGACCTCAGAGTCTGTCTCCATCACTGTTAGATCACTGAAAGCGGTTCAGAGGTAGAAGCATGTCATGGGTTGTGGGCTGCACCACGTGCACGATATGTAACACCACAGACGGGGGTCAGCGTGCCATCGCCGCGCGCCAAATCTGCTCTGCCACCTGCTTTGTGAGTAAAGTCTTACCGGCACACAGCCGCCCGAGTGCACCCACGTGTGGTCTCCGGCTGCTGTCCCGCCACAGCGCGGCGGGGTGGATAGCTGTGACAGAGACGGCGTGGTCCACAAAGCCTGCAATATTCACTGTCTGGTCCATCACAGTTTGCCAACTCCTGATTCAGAGCCGCTGAAGTTTGTTTTCTGTGGGTACTTAGTGGCTGGGGAAATACTGATTGTTATAACACCAAATTTCATAAAGCTCCGGAGTCGAGGCTGAGTCTACAGCACGATTATGGCTTTCCAATAAGGAAAGAAGGGGAGAAAAACAGTAGCTATTACTGAGTGGTCAGATTATAAGTGATTTTTATTTTGTTAGATTTTCCTTTTTTATTATAGACATGCTGTACTGTATCCCGCTAACGATGCCAGTTTTAAGTGGCTGGCATCAGCCCTTTTCACCGTTTGCTGTGGGAACATACGTGAGGCTCTGCGTCAAAAACAGCCTGCCGTAGTGACCAGAAGGGACAGAGGGGACATTTCTGTCTTTACTGTGAATTAATGCATCGTCCAACCTTATCAGTGGGCCTAAGGTCTTGATGTTTGTTTGGTAAGAAACTTGTTAAAATAGTAAAGCACAAACTTTTACCTTCAAACTACAGACACTTCACTGACTTCCTTTCCTTGGCAGGACTGCGAGGAAAACCAGAATCAGACAGTCCTGGTTTCAACAGGGCTCCACCATGGCCCAGCTGCGTGACTTTGGTCAAGATGCTTAACCTTCCTGGGTTTCAGTTTTCCCAGCTATATTATGAGGAAATAATGCTTATCCCACAGTGTCCCTGTGAAGATTTCATAAAAACCTATACAGAAGTGTATACAGAAACGTACCATATATGGAAATGTGTACAGAAGCGTAGACTGGAGAGCCCAACACAGGAGGTCAACAGTCTGTAGCTACCATCATCATTACAAAGCCCAGCGGCTGAATGTCTCTCTATTCAACCCATTTTCTAAGCCATGCTCTAGCATGATAATATTAACGATCGGTTACATTTATTTAAGCACTATGAGATAGGCACTGTGTTCAGAGATTTACACAAGTCAACGCATTTATGACCAAGAGACTAGAAACTAGGGAGCCACGCTGACAGTCCCCCTGGGAGCAGGTTCAATTCCCTCGAATATCACGACTCTCCCAGGCCAAGCAAAGGCTTCTATGTATGGATGGCAACAGCTTTAAGAGGGAATGTGCAAGAAAATATACCAACTTCAGTGATCCTGGGTTAATTTTGGAAGTCGACCGGAGAGGATTTACTGATGAGTTAGATTTGTCAACAGAGCCATCTAGGTACAAGTGTGTCTAGAAAATCTAAAATTTTCACAGTCAGTATGGCGTACGTGGTCCACAACCACGGGGGCTGCAGTGGACCCCCTGGCCGTTTTCTGGTTGCTGCCGTCACGGCACTCTCTCCAGATGAAAGTTTACGGAACCCTCGGAGAGAGAGGAAGGGCAAGAATTGTTCTAGGGTGGCTGCTTCGGGCTCCTGCAGTTAAGCAGCCCATCATGAGGACCCCCCATCACTCGGGGGTCCCGAGAGCGGCTCAGCAACTCCAGCCGGCTGGGCAAGCCCCACCTGGGGCCCGGTGCTGGGAGAGCCGCTTCGGGGGACAGTGAGGCTGGTGCACACTGACCCTGAGATTTGGTGGCTCCGCGGCGTTTGTGGCCAGCCGTGATCATCGGAGTGAGGCCTTTCTGGTTAAGGCTTTTCTCCACCACGGTGGCCTGCCAAGGAGTTCCGAGAGTACTCTCAGGACGGTCGTTTTACGAGGAGGACACTTTTTCACACTCCTCTGCGCTGGCCCAGCCCCCACGACTCCCTGGGGACCGGCAGAGCGCATGGGGCTGGGACCGGGAGCAGGCGGCCCTGGCCTCGGCACTGCCTGCAAACATCCTACCATTCCTGAAGGTCTGCCGGTGTGCTCGCCAGTTAGTCATTTGGGTTCACCCAAGTCCACTTATTTCTATTAAATATATAAAACGGGGCACCTTAGGTTTAACTTTGAAAACAGGCAAGGCGTCCATTAACAACAGGCGGCTGAATCCACCCTCGAACCCTCTGACAGTTCCCCAACTGCGAGCTGGAGACCCCGGACTAGATGTTTCCGTTCCACGCGGCCCAGCCACGCCGTCGGGCCTGACCACTGCGGTGACTAGCAGGCCAGCCACTGGCCCAGCCTCTGTTGCGACGTGTGGCACATGAGCTGGTCTGGGGGGATCCTCACCCCAAAGCGGCTGCACCCGTGTGAGGGACCGCGTAAGAGCCCCTGGATGCCAGGCGCTGGGAACACAGAGTTGCACATCACCGTCTGTGCCCCTGAGGGCTCCAAGTCTAGTGGGGAGACAGACCGAGAAAGCTAACAATTTCTGTGTTCCAGCTCCCCCACTAACCCTGCGAATAAGTTGTTGAACAGACCCGCTCTCCCTCCAGAGAAGTAAGTGGAAGAAAGGACAGTCTGGGCTGGGGTGTCCCTGGAA